TAATCTGTCAGAAAAAATATACAATGCCCTTTTCTACTCTGTTTTGGAGTATATACACCAACTCAGTATGCTCTCTCATGTAAAATACCGAAATTCTAATTTTACATGAATCGAAAAAATCTAAATATTATCTAGGCACCCCAATGTTAAAGCAAAATTGCTCTGAATATAATCTGTCAGAAAAAATATACAATGCCCTATTCTACTCTGTTTTGGAGTATATACACCAACTCAATATGCTCTCTCATGTAAAATACCGAAACTCTAATTTTACGCGAATCGAAAAAAATCTAAATATTATCTAGGCACCCCAATGTAAAAAACAAAATTGCTCTGAATATAATTTGTCAGAAAAAATATACAATACCCTATTCTACTCTTTTTTGCGGTATATAAACCAACTCCATATGCTCTGTCATGTAAAATACCGAAACTCTAATTTTACGCGAATCGAAAAAAATCTAAATATTATCTAGGCACCCCAATGTAAAAATCAAAATTGCTCTGAATATAATCTGTCAGAAATAATATACAATGCCCTTTTCTACTTCGTTTTGTAGTATATACACCAACTCAATATGCTCTCTCAGGTAAAATACAGAAATTCTAATTTTACCCGAATTGAAAAAATCTAAATATTATCTAGGCACCCCAATGTAAAAAACAAAATTGCTCTTAATGTAATCTGTCAAAAATAATATACAATGCCCTATTCTAGTTTGTTTAGGAGTATATACACCAACTCCGTATGCTCTCTCATATAAAATACAGAAATTCTATATTTAAGCGAATTGGAAAAAATCTAAGTATTATCTAGGCACCCCAATGTAAAAATCAAAATTGCCTGAATATAATCTGTCAGAAAAAATATCAATGCCCTTTTCTACTCTGTTTTAGAGTATATAACCAACTCAATATGCCTCCTCATTAAAATACCGAAATTATAATTTACGCGAATCGAAAAAAATCTAAATATTATCTAGGGCCCCCAAAGTTAAAAAAAATGGCTCTGAATCTATTCTGTTAGAAAAATATACAATGCCTTTTTCTACTTTGTTTTGAGTATATACACCAATTCATATGCTCTCTCTATGTAAAATACCGAAATCTCAATTTTACGTGAATCGGAAAAAATCTAAATATTATCTAGGCACCCCAAGTTAAAAAGCAAATTGCTCTGAATATAGTCTGTCAGAAAAAATATACAATGCCCTTATTCTACTCTGTTTGGAGTATATACACAACTCAATATGCTCTCTCATGTAAAATACCGAAATTCTAATTTTACACGAATCAAAAAATCTAAATATTATCTAGGCACCCCAATGTTAAAAGCAAAATTGCTCTGAATATAATCTGTCAGAAAATATACAATGCCTTATTGTACTCTGTTTTGGAGTATATACACCAACTCAATATGCTCTCTCATGTAAAATACCGAAATTCTTAATTAACGTGAAACGAAAAAAATCTAAATATTATCTAGGCACCCCAATGTTAAAAGAAAATGGCTCTGAATATAATCTGTCAGAAAAAATATACAATGCCCTTTCTACTCTGTTTTGGAGTATATACACCAACTCAATATGCTCTCTCATGTAAAATACAAGGATTCTAATTTACGCGAATCGAAAAAAATCTAAATATTATCTAGGCACCCCAAAGTTAAAAGAAAAATTGCTCTGAATATAATCTGTCAGAAAAAATATACAATGCCCTTTTCTACTCTGTTTTGGAGTATATACACCAACTCAGTATGCTCTCTCATGTAAAATACAGAAATTCTAATTTTACGTCAATCGAAAAAAATCTAAATAATATCTAGAAGCCATAAAGTTAAAAGAATATGGCTCTGAATATAGTCTGTTAGAGAAAATATACAATGCCTTATTCTACTCTGTTTTGGAGTATATACACCAATTCAGTATGCTCTCTAATGTAAAATACCGAAATTATAATTTTAAGCGAATCGAAAAAAATTGAAATAATATCTAGGCGCCCCAAAGTTTAAAGAAAATGGCTCTGAATATAGTCTGTTAGAAAAAATATACAATGCCTTGTTCTACTGTGTTTTGGAGTATATACACCAACTCAGTATGCTCTCTCATGTAAAATACAGAAATTCTAATTTTACCTGAATCAAAAAAATCTAAATATTATCTAGGCACCCCAATGTTAAAAGCAAAATTGCTCTGAATATAATCTGTCAGAAATAATATACAATGCCCTTTTCTACTACGTTTTGTAGTATATACACTAACTCAATATGCTGTCTCATGTAAAATACCGAAATTCTAATTTTACGAGAATTGAAAAAATTTAAATATTATCTAGGAACCTCAATGTTAAAAGCAAAATTGCTCTGAATATAATCTCTCAGAGAAAATATACAATTCCCTTTTCTACTCTGTTTTGGAGTATACACAACAACTCAATATGCTCTCTCATGTAAAATACCAAAACTCTAATTTTACCCGATTCGAAAAAATTTTAAATATTATCTAGGCACCCCAATGTTAAAAGCAAAATTGCTCTCAATATCATCTGTCAGAAAAAATATACAATGTCCTATTCTACTTTATTATGGAGTATATACACCAGCTCCATATGCTCTCTCATGTAACATAGTGAAATTCTAATTTATGCGAATCAAAAGAAATCTAAATGATATCTAGGCACCCCAATGTTTAAAGAAAATGTCTCTGAATGTAATCTGTCAGGAAAAATATACAATGCTTTTTTCTACTCTGTTTTGGAGTATATACCGCAACTCAATATGCTCTCCCATGTAAAATACCGAAATTCTAATTTTATGCCAATCGAAAATCTAAATATTATTTAGGTACCCCAATGTTAAAAGCAAAATTGCTCTTAATATAATCTGTCAAAAAAAATATAGAATGCCTTTTTCTACTCTGTTTTGGAGTATATACACGAACTCAATATGCTCCCTCATGTAAAATACCAAAATCCTAAATTTACACGAATCTAAAAAATCTAAATATTATCTAGGCACCCCAATGTTAAAAGCAAAATTGCTCTGAATATAATCTGTTGGAAAAAATACATAATGCCTTTTTCTGCTGTGTTTTCGGGTATATACACCAACTCAATATGCTCTCTCATGTAAAATACGAAAATTCTAATTTTACGCGAATCGAAAATAATCTAAATATTATCTAAACACCCCAATTGTTAAAAGCAAAATGGCTCTGAATATAATCTGTCAGAAAAAATATACAATGCTTTTTTCTACTCTGTTTTGTAGTATATACACCTACTCAATATGCTCTCTCATGTAAAATACCGAAATTGTAAATTTACGTGAATCGAAAAAAATCTAAATATTATCTAGGCATCCCAATGTTAAAAGCAAAATTCCTCTGAATATAATCTGTTCGAAAAAATATACAATGCCCTTTTCTACTCTGTTTTGGAGTATATACACAAACTCAATATGCTCTCTCATGTAAAATACCCAAATCCTAACATTACTCTAAGTATCTCATGAAGTGCACAAGACTTCCGTGATGTTGTTTTTTATAACTAGGGGATTACAGATGACATTACTCACGATATGACTGCGGCTGTTTGCCGGTCCTGTGATAATGTTTCTAATATCCAGATAAGGAGAGGAGACTGTTTCTGCCCATAGGCAATTCCTCTGAATTCGGCAAGAGGAGTACACCGTGCTGTGATATGGTCACTAATGTAAACAAGAAAACAATTATATTGAATTAAATATTGCAAGGTGTTAACCCCCCCTATAATTTTCCTTCTAATTTCAAGGGGGTGAGGAGGACATTTTTGTCAAAATGGCGGAGGTGTAACTACAGCTATTGCCTACTATATAATAAAAAAGGATAAAATTATTATTTACATATGATATGATTGCCAGTATCATATTACACCACATTTTCAAAATATCTGGGCCCCAGCAGCTGTGGGCATGGCAGCCAAGCGAGGGTGTCCCTATGCAACCAGGTTGGGCATTGCGGCTGCTACGGGCCCTTTGTGGTTTGTCTGGGGGCTGCTACGGGCCCTCTGGCGGTGGCTGTGGTAACAGCCACATAGCCAGAGGGTCTCTCAGCATCCAGGGAGGGCCTGGCGGCTGCTACTGACACTCTGGCAGGGGCTATGGGCACAGCCACCTAACCAGGGGGTCCCTACGTAGCCAGGGTTGGGCTGGAAGCTGCTATCGGCCCTTTGGCGGGAGGTGTGGGGATACCCTGCTCTTCACAGGTACACAGTTTGCACCTATTTCTACATGTGTAGATCGTTTACATAATGGGCACATATTTGTACACATGTACATATGTTATCACAATAAACATATATGTACATAATATGTGTACAATAAATATGTACTTTATACGTACCTAATATAAACAATATGTACTTTTTGGTGATATTATGTGATATCTACATATTATTGATTATATATCTTATTGTGATAATATGTATGTTACCACTGAAATTTTTAGAAATGTACATAGAGTACACTTTATGTACCTATGCATTGTGTACACATTATAGAAATAGGTACATATTTTACAGATGATGTACATTTTTTCTACATGTGTATTTTGTACACATATGTACAGCAGAGTAAATGTACAGACTATACCTATTTTATACATTTATTGTGATATGTCAATAAATGTACACATGAGTAAATCCTGGGATATAATTTTTAGCATATTAGATAGGAATTACACCGGTGACCAAAGTGGGTTTACACCCAGGTGCGCACATAGTTTATACATGTACATGTTGTGCATATTATGTACTCATGTACAGAATGTACATGTCTACATTATATATACATAGGTGTACGCAGCATACATATGTACATACTGTGCACACATATGTACATGTGCATATATTGTACATCTGTACATAATGGGTACATGATGTACATGTGTACACATCATATCACAATAAATGTAAATATACATAATGTTTGCAATATGTACGTTTATATTATGTATTACGTTTATTGTGATTATATATGCTGTTGTGATATGATATCATTGTGACATTACAAATGTACATATTATACACATTATGTACCTATGCATTGTGCACAGATTATAGAAATAGAAAGAAACATATTTTACAGGTTATGTACATTTTATTTACTTGTGTATTGGGTACACAGAGTAAATGTACAGATCTTACTTACTTTATACATTTATTGTGATATGCCAATAAATGTACACATTATGAGTACATTCTGTGATATTACATTTAGAATATAAGATAGAAATTACTCTGGTTACCAAAGTGGGTGTAAACTTATGTGTGCACATACTTTGTACATGTACATACTGTGCATATTATGTACTTGTGTACAGAAGGTAAATATCTACATTATATGTATGTATGGGTACAGAGCGTACATATGTACATACTATGTACATATATCTACACCTGAATTTATTGTACATCCGTACATAATGGGTCCATGCTGTACATGTAAACACATCGTCATACCACAATAAATGGAAATGTACATAATGTGTGAAATACGTACATTTATATTATGTATTACATGTGTATTGTGATTGTATATGCTGTTCTGATATCATTGTGATATTACAAATGTACATATTGTACACATTATGGACATACCTATTGTGTACATATTATGTACACATAAATGTACATATTGTACAGATTATGTATATTTATTGTACATCTGTATGGTGCACACATATGTACATCACAGTCAACGTACATATGGTACATATTCTGTGCATTGTTTGTAATATTTCAGTAAGAGTACACATTATAAGTATATTCTGGGATATGATTTTTAGTATGTTAGATAAAAATTACTTTCAATATCAAAGTGGGTATACACTTATGTGTGTCCATTTTGTGATATTATCCATCATATCCTGAGTAGGTATTTCTCTCATTGTGAAAGCAGGTTTACACTCTCGGATTGCTCCAATATCAAGGCAAACTAAAACTCGTCTGTGATGTAGTTAATAATATCCTGAGGACAAAGGATGACCATACCCTGAATATCGCAGGAAGTGTACACCACCACTGTAGTATTGTTTCTAATGTTCAAAAACGGAAAGGATATTACTCCAAATATCTCAGAAAGCACACAAGCCCCCCGTGATATTGTTTCTAATAACTAGAGAATTACAGATGACATTACCCACGACGTGACTGGGGCTGTACTCTGGTCCTGGAATATTGTTCCTAATATCCAGAGAAGGAGAGGAAAATGTTGCTGCCCATAGGGAAATACTCTTAATACGGCAAGAGGTGTACACCATGCTTTGATATGGTCACTAATGTAAGCGAGAAAACAATTACATTGAATTAAGCATTGCAAGGAATGAAACTCCCCTATGATTTTCATTCTAATGTCAATGGGGGTGAGGATGACATTTTTGTCAATATGGCAGAGGTGTAACTGGAGCTATTGCCTAATATACAAAAAAACAGAATAAGATTATCATTTTTATATAATATGGTTGCCAGTATCATATTACACCTGATTTGCAAAATAGCTGGGCCTCAGCAGCTGTGGGCAGAGCCCACAAGCGAGGGGACCCCTAAGCAGCCAGGGTGGGCCTGGGGGCTGCTCTGGGCTTTTTGGTGGGGTCTGTGAGCACATCGACCCAGCCAGGGGTCCCTGAGCAGCCATGGTTGGCCTGGGGGCTGCTACGGGCACTCTGGCATGGGCTGTGGGCACAGACACCTAGTCAGGGGGTCCCTAAGCAGCCAGGGTGGGCATGGGGGCTGCTACAGGCATTCGAGCAGTGTTTGTGGGCACAGCCCAATTGCCAGGGGGTCTCTAAGCAGCCAGGCTGGGCCTGGGGGCTGCTATAAGGGGGGCTTTGGTAATAGCGTGCTGTGCATCGGTACATAGTTTGCACCTATTACTACATGTGTAAATAGTTTTAATATCGGGCATATATATGTACATGCGTACATATGGTGTTATCACGATAAATTTATATTTACATAATATGTGCAAAATACATATGTACCTAATGCATACCTAATGTGTACAATATGTACTTTTTTGTAATATTAGACAATATATATTACTGTGATTATATATCTTATTGTGATTAAATATATTTTATCACTAATATTTTAAGGAATGTGCATAGTGTACACATTATATACCTATGTATTGTGTACACAATATAGAAATATATAGGTACATATTTTACAGATTATGTACACTTTTTCTACATGTGTATTGTGTACACCTATGCACAGCAGAGTAAATGTACAGACTGTACCTATTTTATACATTTCTTGTGATATGCCAATAAATGTACACATTATGAGTACATTCTAAAATATAATTTTTACCATATTAGAAATTACTCCATTGACCAAAGTGGGTGTACACCCAGGTGTGTACATAGTTTATACGTGTACATATTGTGCATATTAGGTACTCATGTACAAAATGTACATGTCAACATTATATGTATTTATGTGTACATAGTGTGCAAATGTACATACTGTTCACACATATGTACATGTGCATATTTTGTACATGTGTACATAATGGGTACATGATGTGCATGTGTACACACCGTGATACCACAATAAATGTAAATGTACACGATGTGTGCAATATGTACATTTATATTATGTATTACTTGTGTATTGTGATTTTATATGCTGTTGTGATTATATGATATCATTGTAATATTACAATAAATGTACATATTGCACACATTTCGTACATACCTATTGTGTACACATTATGTACCTGTAATTGCACATATTGTACAGATTATGTACGTTTTTGGTACATCTGTATTGTGTACACATATGTACATAACACTCTATGTACATATGGTATGTATTCTGCACATTGATTGTAACATCTCAATAAGTGTACACATTATGAGTATATTGTGATATATGATTTTTAGTATATTAGATAAAAATTTCTTTCTATATCAAAGTGGGTATACACCCATGTGTGTCCATTTTTTGATATTATCCATCATATTTTAAGTAGGTATTACTCTCATTTTGAAAGCAAGTGTTCACTCTGTGATTGTTCCAATATCACAGGCAAAGTACAAGGCTTCTTTAATGTACTACCTAATATCCTGGGGACAAAAGATTATTATACCCTGAATATCGCAGGAAGTGTACACCACCACTGTAGTATCGTGTCTAATATCCAAAAACGGAAAAGATATTACTCCAAGTATCTGATAAAGCACACAAGACCCCCGTGATATTTTTTCTAATAACTAAGGGATTACAGATGACATTACTCACGATATGACTGGGGCTGTCCGCCGGTCCTGTGATATTGTTCCTAATATCCAGAGAACGAGAGAATAATGTTGCTGCCCATAGGCAAATCCTCTGAATACGGCAAGAGGAGTACACTGTGCTCTGATATGGTCACTAATGTAAACAAGAAAACAATTATATTGAATTTAACATTGCAAGGGGTGAAACCCCCTTATGATTTCAATTCTAATGTCCAGGGGTGTGAGGATGACATTTTTGTCAATATGGCAGAGGTGTAACTAGAACTATTGCCTAGTATATCAAAACCCAGAATAACATCATTTCCATATGATATGGTCGCCAGCATCATATTACACCACATTTTCAAAATAGCCGGGCACAGCGCCCTAGCCAGGGGGTCCCTAAGCAGCCAGCGTCAGCCTGGGAGCTGTTACGGGCCCTCTGGCGGGGAATGTGGTTACAGCTCCCTAGCCAGGGGGTCTTTAAGCAGCCAGGGTGGGCCTTGGGGCTGCTACGAGGGGGGCTGTGGTAATAGCCTGTTCTGCACAGGTACATAGTTTTAATAATGAACACATATTTGTATAAGTGTACACATGGTGTTATGATAAATATGTACATATGTGCACAATACATATAGACCTAATGCGTACCTACTGTGTACAATATGTACTTTCTTGTGATATTACTTGATATATATATATTACTGTGATTATATGCGTTATTTTGATTATATATATTTTATCACTGATATTTTAAGGAATGTGCATAGTGTACACATTATGTACCTATACATTGTTTACACATTATAGAAATATGTAGGTACATATTTTACAGAGTATGTACATTTTTTGTACATGTGCATTGTGTACACATATGTACAGCAGGGTAAATGTACAGATTGTACCTATTTTATACATTTATTGCAATATGCCAATAAATGTACACACTATTACTACATTCTGAATTATTATATTTTGTATATTAGATAGAAATCTCTCCGGTTACCAAAGTGGTTGTACACCCAGGTGTGTACATAGTTTATATGTGTACATATTGTGCATAGAATGTACTCGGGTACAGAAGGTACATATCTACATTATATGTACACATGTGTAGTGTACATATGTACATACTGTACCCACATATGTACACTTGCATATATTGTGCATCTGTACATAATGGGTACATGATGTACATGTTTACATATCATATCACAATAAATGTAAATGTACATCATGTTTGCAATATGTACATTTATATTGATATTACATATTACATGTGTATTGTGATTTTATATGCAGTTGTGATTATATAACATTGTGATATTACAATAAATGTACATATTGTACACATTATGTGCATACCTATTGTGTGCACATTTTGTACATATATTCGTACAAATGATACAGTTTATGTACATTTATTGTACATCTGTATTGTGTACATGTATGTACATCACAGTCAATGTACATATGTTACATATTCTGTACATTGAGTGTAATATCCCAATAAGTCTACACATTATGAGTTTTTTCTGGGTTATGACTTTTAGTATATTAGATAAAAATGACTTCCAATATCACAGTGGGTATATACCCATGTGTGTCCATTTTGTGATATTATCCATCATATCCTAAGTAGGTATTTCTCTCACAATGAAAGAAGGTGTACACTCTGTGATTGTTCCAATATTATAGGCAAAGTGCAACGCTTCTGTGATGTAGTTCCTAATATCCAGGGACAGAGGATGAGTATACTCTTAATATCGCAGGAAGTGTACACCACCACTGTAGTATTGTTTCTAATATCCAGAAACTAAAAGGATATTACTCCAAATATCTCCAAAAGCACACAAGACCCCCGTTACATTGTTCTTAATAACTAGGGGATTACAGATGACATTGCTCACGATGTGACTGGCGCTGTAAGCCGGTCCTGTGATATTCTTCCTAATATCCAGATAAGGAGAGAAAAATGTTGCTGCCCATAGAGAAATATTCTGAATACTGCAAGAGATGTACACCGTGCTCTGATATGGTCACTAATGTAAACAAGAAAACAATTATATTGAATTAATCATTGCAAGGGGTGAAACCCTCCTATGCTTTCAATTCTAATGTCAATGGGGTGAGGATGACATTTTTGTCAATATGCCAAATGTGTAACTAGAACTATTGCCTAATATGTAAAGAACCACAATAACATTATCATTTCTGTGTGATATGGTTGCCAGTATCATATTACACCACATTTTCAAAATAGCCGGGCCCCAGCAGCTGTGGGCACAGCGCCCTAGGCAGGGGGTCCCTAAGCAGCCAGCGTGGGCCTGGTAGCTGTTATGGGCCCTCTGGCGGGGGCTGTGGGTACAGCCCCCTAGCCAGGGGGTCTTTAAGCAGCCAGGGTGGGCATTGAGGCTGCTACGAGCAGAACTGTAGTAATAGCCTGCTGTGCATAGGTATGTAGTTTGCACCTATTTCTGCATGTGTACATTGTTTAAATAGTAGGCACATATTTGTATACGTGTACATACGGTGTTATCATGATACATATATATTTTCATAATATGTGCACTATACATATGTACCTAATACATACCTAATGTGTACAATACGTACTTTTTGGTGATATTACACGACATATATGTATTAGTGTGATTATATATCTTACTGTGATTATATATATCACTGATATTTTAAGGAATGTGCATAGTGTACACATTATGTACCTATGCATTGTGTACACATTATAGAAATATATAGGTACATATTTGACAGATTATGTACATTTTTTGTACATGTGCATTGTGTACACCTATGTACAGCAGAGTACATGTACAGATTGTGCCTATTTAATACATTTATCACAATACGACAATAAATGTACACACTATGACTACATTCTGGGATTTTATATTTAGTATATTAGATAGAAATCTCTCCGGTTACCAAAGTGGGTATACACCTATATGTGTACCTAGTATATACGTGTACATATTGTACATACTGTGTACTCCTGTACAGAAGGTACATATCTACATTATATGAACATATGTGTAGTGTACATATGTACATACTGTGCACACTTATGTACACGTGTATATACCGCAAATCTGCACGTGTGCATGATGTACATGTGTACATATCGTAATATCACAATAAATGTAAATGTATATAATGTGTGCAATATGTACATTTATATTGATATGTATTATATGTGTATTGTGATTATATATGCTGTTGTGATTATATGAAATCATTGTAATATTACAATATATTTACATATTGTACACATTATGTACATACCTACTGTGTACACATTATGTACATATAAATGTACATATTGTACAGATTATGTACATTTTTTGTACATCTGTATTGTGTACACATATGTACATCACAGTCAATGTACATATGGTACATATTTTGTACGTTGATTGTAATATCCCAATAAGTGTACACATTATGAGTATATTCTGGGATATGATTTATAGTATATAAGAAAAAAGTTACTTCCAATATCAATGTGGGTATACTCGCATGTGTGTCCATTTTGCTGTACCTTCTATTAATCTTTGCCATTGAACATGATAGTGAGAGGTGGTTCTTTTCTCTAACAAGGTTTTCTGTTAATATAACTCAACTCTACTACCTTGTGGCCTCTGTATCTTCCATTGTAAATTGTAATTACCTATAAAAGAGAATATTTTGACATCACGTATCTACCTCTTGGATCCATCAGCCAGAGGCCTAAAATAAAAAAAGACATTCACCCCACGAATGGTTATATAGTGGTTGACAACCCCACTTTCTTCTAGGTAAATAATATCCTCTCTTTAACAGTAGCTACTTACAAGATTTGTGCATAAAGAATGTGACTTTTTCATCAGTATCTAGTTTATTCTTACATAAATTTCTAAAATACTGAGAGAATATTCTGATCATTGGTTATGTACTATTTTAATTTAATTTTTTCCTCTCAAATTTTATCTTAACTGCATACTCTACCCTGTTTATAAGACTGCCCTATGGTTAAATTTAGTAGGTAGTAAATTATCCTGAGCACACAGAACAATTCTTTTTGTAATCAACTCTGAAACATCATTGAAAGAGCAAGGATATGGGAATGAGATTTATCTGGCTTTTATTTCTGGTACTTACTTGCTCTCTGACCTTGGGCAACTTATGTATTGCTCTGAGTCTCATCTTCTTCATCTGTAAAATGATCATAGTAATACCTAATTCATATGCAGCTTGGAAATGTGTAATTTAGTGATTGATATAAAGTTCCTGATACAATTTCTGACAAAATAATAGACACCCCACGAGAGATAACCATAACAATCAGAGTTTATATTCACATTAACTGGGATAAAATTGATCTGAAAATACAGCATAAAAAAGCAGCCAAAAATTCACAAGCATATATTTCGCTTGCCTTTTTATACAGAGCTGGAAAATTTCTCATCATTATCTCATCCATTGCCTGCAGCACGATCCTTCCAAAACTCCTCCTAAGACCGTCTGCCAAGGTGGAACACACTGAACCGCATGTGACTCTGCCTTTTCTGACTATTTTTGCAAGATTTTTCTCATAGAGTATTATTAACAGAAAATGGGGCTGTTATCAAGGTGACTAGGAATGGTGCATTCTCAGTTCAGGCTCTGATGGAATGTCTACTTGATCTGGTGCAACTCCAGCTGTGCTCTTGGCTTTCCTCACTTTTGTGGTTCCGAGAATGCAAATATTCTCCCATGGCTTCCTTATTTTGTCTTTCTCCATGAGGTCTCATTCAAGTATAAACATTCCCTTCAATTTTCTCAACTCATTTTATATTGTCTGAATAACCTTGATAATTTTCCCTTTCCTAAAGCTATAGACCTTCTTTTTGTGTGTAAGAACAGATTACTCACAAATGTTTACTGTCCGCTAAACATTTATGTGTAATCGGTCCTTAATTCTACACACAAAATATCATCTCTACCAACATTTTACAACTATAGTCTTTCTATAGAGAACTATGAAAGGAACTTGCTCTAAAGGAGAAACTTCCAGAGCTAAACCAAGGGTCTGACAATTTTTAACAATATGTTATTCAGTAAAAATATTTTTTCAGTTAACAGAGAAGAATGCCATGGACAAAATGGCAAAACAGAACTTTTCAGCACTTATTCCTTCACAGAAACATCAATTTGAACAGCCATCCGTGCATCAAAGTGTCTTCAAAAGAGACAAGGAATCCAGGTGAGAGGTTATAGCACGTTTGTGGAGTAGAAAAGTAAGAAAAACTGCATAAAATAGAGTATAAAAGAGAGTTTTATATTATCTGCATTACCCCGCCCCTAAACCTGGGTAGTGCAGCATGGAAAGAGATACCATGTATGTGCAGAGAGGAGAGTAAATGTAACACCTGACTTCAACATCAACTCCAATGCCAGGCACAATTCAGTGAACTCAACACCAGGCAGGTTTCTATAGCCACAGGCTATGGGACAGACCCTGTCAACCCAAGCTCCAGGCCTTCCCCTATGGCTCTAAGATCTAATGCCTCCAACCTCCATGGCTCCTATCGACATAGGCTCCAGGCCTTCACCACAACCAGGCCATTTATGGCTTCCCCAGGCTCCACACTGGTTACTATAGACTCGTAAGTGCCTGGATAAACAAACCTGTACATCGACACAGTGGAATATTATTCAGCAATGAAAGCAATAATCTTTGAATGTGGCTTTTGTTGCAGAAAAAAAAGCACGTGAGCTATGAAGCCATTAAAAGACATAGAGGAAACTCAAATACATACTACTAAGTGAAAGAAACCAATCTCAAATGACCACTTACTATATGAATCCAACTATATGACATTCTGGAAAAGGCAAAACTATAGAGACATCAAAACGTTCAGTGATTGCTAGGGGTTGAAAAGTGGGGAAGGATAAATGGGCAGAGCATAGAGAATGTTTAGGGCAATGAAACTACTCTGTGTGTTACTATAATGGTAGACACATGCCATTACACCCTTGTCAAAACTCACTGAATATACAACAGCAAGAATGGTCCCTAATGTCAATTATAAACTATGGGTGACAGTGATAAGTCAATGTTGGTTCATCCATTGTAACAAATGTACCTCTCTAGTGAGGAAGGCTGATAGTGGAGGAGGCTGTGCATTTGGGGAGGTGGGAATGTAGGAACTCTCTGTACTTTCCACTATGCCTCACTATTAACTTTAAACTGCTCTAAAAATAAAGCGTATTTTAAAAAAGATTGAGCTGTTGATATAAGCCCAGTGTCTACTTTGACGTCCAGAAATGTTTCTTTTAAAACGCTAATACACCACTTCCTGGAAGAAAGTATTTGTTAACAAATTCTTTTCTAGAACAATTATTTTTGTGGGTGTTCCTGTCACAACTATACATAAAAATCAGAATATGCAGCAACATCTTGATACTCTAAAAACACAATACCAAAAACGTTAAGAAAATCATTTCTAAATTTGATCTAAGCCAAAATGTGGAGAAGCAAAGGGAAGAAAATTATTTCTGTATAATGAGATTATAGGTTGTTTCTCCGAACTCCTCTACAGTTTTCAGTATTTTCCAACTTCTATCATGGAGATATATAAATATATAAGTACATATGTAGATATATAGTCATTAGATATATATTTATATATAATAAATAAACAGATACCATTTTTATTTTTTATTATTTATTTATTTTTTGAGACTGAGTTTCGCTCTTGTTTCCCAGGCTGGAGTGCAATGGCGCAATCTCGGCTCACCGCAACCTCCGCCTCCTGGGTTCAGGCAATTCTCCTGCCTCAGCCTCCTGAGTAGCTGGGATTACAGGCACGCACCACCATGCCCAGCTAATTTTTTGTATTTTTAGTAGAGATGGGGTTTCACCATGTTGACCAGGATAGTTTCGATCTCTTGACCTCGTGATCCACCCGCCTCGGCCTCCCAAAGTGCTGGGATTACAGGCTTGAGCCACCGCGCCCGGCCTACAGATACCATTTTAAAAGATATATTTATGTATTTTATATATTTATATAATATATACATGTTCATATATACATCATGTTATCACCATTATGGATATAAAGAAGGACGTTAAAATAGTGAAAAGCTTAAAATAAAATGTACCAAAATGGAAACAGCAATTTAACTCTGCCTAGCTTTATGTGATTAAACAAGGTATTTTTCAAATCTATTTTTCTTTGCTTTCTAGAGGCTTTATAATAAATCTATATTTTTATATTTAAAGCCTAATTTTTATTAAACAAATAAATATTCAGCAACACTGTCTTTAGAACATTTTTTAAATCAACTTGAGCATGAAGAAAATGTTATGACTATGGTGGTGAGCATTTTGAAAGATTAGCAGAAGCAGGGATAATGTGACATTTAGCTGATCTTTCAAGGGAAGCTAGACAAATGACACTTTTCGAAAAGAAAATAGTAACTAGTGTTGAAACATGGTATCGCCAGTATGATTAAGAAGGAAAGTGTCAACTTCTTCTGTGGAAAATCCTAACATTACCAAACGTAAGAAGGCAAATACTTCAACAACAGAAATGAAAAATATCTTGATTCATTTATTTAACACATTTTTAGAGTTTAATCCCAAAAAGTCTATTTTGAAGAAAAGAAAAAATCTTACTCGTGTATATTACCCTTTGCAGTGAACTGGCCAAATAAGTCTATCCAAGGTACGTTGAATACCGAGCATGCTGGAAACATTTTTATTGACATCATCTCTAATCCCTACAACAATAGTGCAAGGGAAGGTTTAACATCTTCTTTTTACAGAGAGGAAAGCTGAGGCTCAAAGAGGTATAGTAGCTCATTTAACATCACACATCTAATACGTGGTAGAGGTGGGACCTATACTTACATCTGTCAGACCTTAAAGTCTGTGTTCTTCTTTCTACCTCTCTGCCTCAGTCCAACAATTGGGATCTTTGCCATGATGCCTCACGAGTTCACGAGGCACTTTTCAGAAAGTTTTTGACTCAGACTTTATCACTCAGCAAGATACCTCAACTAATTTACAAAATGTGACTTGAAAAGCAGGTTGTAATTCCAAAAGCAAAAATCCAACCACAAAAGATAAAGTCTTAATCAGTAGAGCTTTACAGAAGGAAGTAATGTAGGTAGTAAGGGCACTTTCATAAATGTCTGGAATCAGAGGAGTCGATGTATCACCTGTTAGAAATTGTACTCGCTTGGTAGCAAAATTTTCCTTGTGTTCACTTAAAATAATAGTCTTGTTGTTTTAAAACCAACGCACAGTCAGAGGGTGACTTGGATGTTTATTTTTTATTCTCTTTGCCTTCTCGTTTTAAGAATGGATTTTTCCTAAATTCTAATTATTATTGTAACTTACATAAGTGCAGCCGATTTTGCTTTTAAGGATAAAACTACATTTAAGTAGCTTTGTCTGGATGATCAAAACCAGGCCCTGAAGAAGTGAGTTCCTAAAGGGTAGGAACTTTGCTTATGTCTATATCTCAGTTGTGTTAAACAGAATAACTGGCGCAAATTAGCAAATGATGCACTGAGGAATCATAGAACAAAAGACTTTATGAAGAACTAAGTTTCAGATTCAGGGTGACGCTAAGGAGCTAGTGTACCAGAGGATGGTATGCCTTCTGCAATCACAGAAGCAGCATTCAGTCTGATCTGGGCTCTAAGAAGTGCTCCTTGAGACCTGAAATTTTATCCTAACACTGCCACTAACAGGTTAAGTCAGAAAGAGTTCACTTCCCAGAGCTTTCGATTTCTGGTTTCCAAATCAGCACAATGAGAAAGTGAAAAGAAGGAAAGAGGGAAAAAAGAGAGGGTCAGAGATCCCTTCTGCTTGTACAATGCCATGATTTGGACACAGGGCTTGGGCAACCATGGCCCATCCACCAATTCCTGCCTGTCGTCTCTTGTCATACAGCTCATGAGCCACGAATGTGAAAGAATTCAAAAAAGTAACAATATTTTGGGACATGTCAACAATTATAGAAAATGCAATTTTCAGTTCTCATAAAAGTACTTTGGAACTCAGCCCCACTCCTTTATAACCCATTTCTATGGCTGCTTTCACACCACAACCACAGAGATGAGTAGCTGTGACAGAGACCATATGGGCTGCCAAGCCTAAAATATTTACTGCCTAGACCTTTCCAGAAAAAAAAAAAAAAAGGATTGCTGATCTTTTACACAGACAATCAAGCAAGCGATCACCTGAGAACATTAAAATCTGTGTCTAGGACAAATGGGGCCTATATAAACTAGGGAATAATCTTCCCCACTACTTATGCAAGAACATTCAGCCTTGAGAGAGCAGGCTACATGGCTTGGCAGCACTACTGCCACCAGTCCAGACTTCCCCTCACCTGTGCCCTATAAGTGACCAGCATTTCTAGGCATCCGTGGAGCAGCGGGGTGCATTCTCATGGCTGGCCCCACACCTTCCCTTCCTCCTGCTTCCTCACATTCTATTTTCTGAGTGGTTGTCAAAGGAACGCTGAATTTTTCTGTCACTTTTTCAGACCCCAATTCCACTTATGACAGTCTTGGCACCAGGAAGCATTCCGAGCTCTTATCTCATCACCACAACCACCTGCTTCTCACTTAGTCCAGACGAGCTTGCCACAGTGCACTTGCTTTTTAATCGCTCTCTCTCTTCTTGCCTTCACCTCCTCTCCCTCCCTCTCTCCCTGGCTCTTTCTGTCACACGGGTGTGTGCACATACACAAGTTCCGATTAGATAAAAGAAGAAACACTTTTTAAGTTTCTTTCTAGGCCTCATAGAAAATTCTTTTTTTTATTACAAAAACAGAGCTGTTTTTGTCCATTGCAAAAGTGTGGGTGTCCTTCCTTTTGGAGAGTAACAATCATTTTCTACATGGCCTTCTGACACATTGCATGTTGTACATATGTGTGTGTGCACATGTGCATATGAGTGTTAGAGTATGTGTGTGTAGCAGGGAGGAAAGAGATGAAGGAGAGTGTGTATGTGCATGTTGGTTCATATGAGTGTGAGTGTGTGCATGCACGTGCCTGTGTGTGTGCACATGTGTATGAGCATGCTTGTATTTGCGTATGAGAATGTGCATGTGAGAGAGAAAGAAAGAGTGCGTGTATGTGTGAATGTGTATGTGTATGTATAGCAGGGAAGAAGGGGATGAAGGAGAGTATGCTAAAAAGAGAACACCTCAGAACAGTCAAATAAAAGATTCCATATCAACATCATATCTTGTTAAAATACAGGATTCCCAGTCAGTCACCTTCAAGCTGGAAGCCTGGAGTGTAAAAAGAGTGGGTGTTCTTCTCTGACAACTTATTGTCTAAGACAATTTTATGATCAAAAATATATTCGAATTAAAGTACCTGAGAAAAGTACATAAAGAGAATATAGCAAAATGTTAACAATGGTTTTCTTTGGGTGAGAGGAAGAAGAAGCAGGTTGTGGTTGATCTGTTTCTTTTAGTTCAACTATTCTGCATTCCTCACTTTTAAATTTTGGATATTAAGCTGGAGAGAAAGAACATGAATATAAAGATAAATTCGCTGAATGGAGCAACGAATGCTGAGTTAGCCAAAAATGTATGGCTACCTTCTATATCTAATTTCTGAGGGCAAATCAGAAAACACCACTTTCAGAAAAAAATTTTTTTTTTTTAGAAATGAAGTTTCGCTCTTGTTGCCCAAGCTGGAGTGCAATGGCACAATCTCGGCTCACCGCAGCCTCCGCCTTTTGGGTTCAGGCAATTCTCCTTCCTCAGCCTCCTGAGTGGCTGGGATTACAGGCACGCGCCACCATGCCCAGCTAATTTTTTGTATTTTTAGCAGAGACAGGGTTTCACAATGTTGACCAGGATGGTCTCGATCTCTCGATCTTGTGATCCACCCACCTCGGCCTCCCAAAGTGCTGGGATTACAGGCTTGAGCCACCACGCCCAGCCAGAAATTTTTTAAAATGTGTTTTACGTTATTTTCCCTTGCAGCCTAAGGACTAAAAATTGAACACAACTGGATCTGCGCCATTGCCTCAAAGATTCTTAGCCTAGTTCAAGATCCATTGTCTAGACACTCCTGCTTTTTAGACAGAAAACAGGGCTAAATTCCTATTGACTTCCAAATACACAGACCCACAGATTTGTCACAGTAGCCTCTCTCTCTCACCCTGTCTCTGTCCATCTGAGTCTCTCTTTCTTTCTCTCTCTCTTCCCTCACATCATCCCCAAATCAGAATGCATATATAAAAATTTGATTAACTGAAACATAGAATGATTAAGATTTTACTACAAGAGAAATACACAGACTTCAGCTAAGATGTTTGGTTGAATACCTGCATATGCCTTCACTCCATCATTAAACCACATTAATACAGGATGATTGAAAATAAATAAACCAACAAAGATAAAAAGAAAATAAAGACAACCCCTTCAGCATATAGAAAACTGGCAAGCAGAAGCTGTCAGTGACACCTGACAGTAGACCCAGGGATGCTAAATCCCAAGCCAGTGGCAGGAAGGCAACCAGGATCCCCAAGGGTTCAAGAGTTGGCAGCTAAATTTACCTAGGGAATTTATGTTTCAGTAGTAGGTAGATCCCAGATCCTCTCCCTAGAATGGGTGACTGCATCCCACGGTGGTGGCAGGGTGGAGGTTTCCTCTCTATAGGGTAAAATTTGGTGTCTCTAGGCAGGAGCTCTCTAGACACAAGTGCTTAAATGTACACACTGAACACTGAGATCCTCCAGGTGTTCCTACCACTTAGTTCCAATGAGGGTGGCAGATACTTGGTCAGAAGTTAAGATGATTTTTCTCTAGAAAGAATCTCTCTTGCTCAAGAAGAAAAGGTCTGACCCAGCAAGACCAACCCCCACAAAATGTTACAATCACAGAACTTCCATCAGCTTTTAGGTTTTCAGTGCTCCATTTTTTTCTAACAGACACAGACAGCTAAGGGTCACCAGGCATCTGAGCAAAGCTTCTAACATGAATGGCTGAGACCAGAGAAAGAAGACACATAAATGCAGCCTGAATGAGGACTGTGCTAGGAGATAAGACCTTCTGAAACCCATATGAATGTTCTCGAAGAGATAAGTGTTACCATTTTCATGAAACAAGAACCAAATTTAAAGAAAAAGTAAACGCTTAGAAATTAAAAATATGACAGCAGAACTTGTGAAAAATTCTTGTTAGAATAGTAAGACAACAAAGTTGAGTAGATGAACCTATGTCTTCCAGAAATAGCGATAAGAAAAAAGTTGAAATCCGGAAGAAAATTTGAACAGGTTCAACACTAAAATGATCAGAATTCCAAAGATAGAAATAGAGACAGACAGAGAGAGAGAGAGAGAAAAAAGAACAGACACACGCAGCAAATAAAAAAGAGAGAGATAAACCCTAACACAGTAATTGCTGGAGACTACGACACCCAACTGTCAGCAATGGACAGATCTTTCAGACAGAAAACCAACCAATCAACATTAAATTTAATCTTTATTACAGACCAAATGGAAGTGATATTCAAGGAACATTTCATCCAATGACTGCAGAATACACATTTTTCAACTCAACACATAGATCATTCATAAGTATGGAAGATACCTTAGGTCACAAAGCAGATGCAATCACATTTGAAATCAGGACTAAGAAATTCATTCAAAACCATACACTTACATGGAAACTGAGTCACTTGCTCCTGAATGACTCCTGGGTAAATCATGACATTAAGGCAGAAATCAAGAAGTTTAAGAAGTTCTTTGAACGTAATGAGAACAAAGGTACAACTTACCAGAGTTTCTGGGATGCAGCTAGTCAAGTAGTGCTGAGAGAAATGTATAGTACTAAATGCTCACATCAAGAAGTGAGAACTCGGGACAGCTGCGGTGACTCACTCTTGTCATCCCAGCACTTTTGGAGGCCAAGGCGGGCAGATTACAAGGTCAGGAGTTTGAGACCAGCCTGACCAACATGGTGAAACCCCATTCTACTAAAAATACAAAAATTAGCTGGTGTTGTGGCACATACCTGTAATCCCAGGTACTCAGGAGGCTGAGGCAGGAGAACTGCTTGAACCCAGGAGATAAATGTTGCAGTGAGCCCATATCACACCACTGCACTCCAGCCTGGTTGAGAGAACAACACTCCATCTCAAAGACAAAATTGAGATCTCAAGTTAACTACCCAACATCACAATTAAAAGAATTAGAAACCCAACAGCAAAGAACACCCTCAAAGCTATGCTGAATGGGAGTGGGGAGAGAGGGCATCTTTATCTTGTGCCAATTTTTAAGGGGAATGCTTTCAGCTTTTGTCCATTCAGTATGATGCTGGCTGTGGGTTTGTCACATGTGGCTCTTATTATTTTGAGGTATGTTCCTTCAATACCTGGTTTATTGAGAGTTTTTAACACACATGAAAGTTGAATTTTATCAAAAGCTGTTTTTGCATCCATTGATATCATCATGTGGGTAATTTTTTTCTTTAGTTCTGTTTATGTGACGATGACATTTATCAATTTGCATATGTTAAACCAAACTTGCATCTCAGGGAGGGTGGTTGTGACCAGGAATTTATCAGTTTCTTCTAGATTTCTCAATTTTTTCAGGTTCAGTGGCTCACATCTGTAATCCCAGAACTTTGGGAGGTCAAGGTGGGTTGATCACCTGAGATTGGGAGTTCAAGACCAGCTGGATCAACATGGAGAAACCCCATGTCTACTAAAAATACAAAATTAACCAGACATGGTGGCACATGCATGTCATCCCAGCTACTCAGGAAGCTGAGGCAGGAGAATCGCTTGAACTCAGGAGGCAGAGGTTGCACTAAGCCGAGATCTCACCATTGTCCTCCAGCCTGAGCAACAAGCACAAAACTCCATCTCAAAATTAAAGAAAAATTGCCTACAGTTGTACATAATATTCTCTGAGGGTGGTTTGTATTTCTGTGGGGTCAGTGGTAATATTGCCCTTATTGTTTTTGATGGTGGTTATTTGAATCTCCTCCCTTTCTCCTTCATTGGTCTAGCTTCAAGTTTATTATTTTTTAACCAGTATGATTTTAATAGACCAGTTACTGGGTAGGAAATTGAAACATACAGAGTGCCATCTCCAAGAGCAGTCATGATTTCATTTGGGTTCTTGAAAAATGTTAAGAAGTAGGTTGAGTTTTATTATTTTTTTCAGAAAACCAGCTTTTGAAAAATTTATGTGGAACCAAAAACAGCCAAGGCAATCCTAAGCAAGAAGAGCAAAGCTGGAAGCGACATGCTACCAGACTTCAAACTGCATTACAGGGCTACAGGAAACAACAGCATAGTACTGGTACAAAAACAAACACATAGACTAATGGAACAGAATAGAGAATCCAGAAACAAAACCAAGCTTCTACAACTATCTTATCTTTGGCAAACTTAACAAAAACAAGCAAGGGGGAAAAGATTCTCCCTATTCAATAAATGATGCCAGGATAACTGGATAGCCATATGCAAAAGACTGAAACTAGACCCCTTCTTTACATTACATACAAAAATTTGCTCAAGATAGATTAAACACTGATATGTAAAACCAAAAACTATAAAAGCTCTGCAAGACACGAGACAATGCCATTCAGGACATAAGCACAGGCAAAGATTTCATCATGAACATGCCAAAAGAAAAGGTAACAAAAGCAAAATTGAAAACTGGGGTCAAATTAAAATGAGAAACTTTCACACAGCAAAATAAACTATCAACAGAGAAAACTGACAACCTACAGAATGTGAGAAAATGTTTGTAAACTATGCATTCCACAAAAATCTAATATCAAACATCGGTAGGGAAATTAAATTTACAAGGGGAAAACAAACAACCCATAAAAAGGTGGGCAAAGAACATAAACAGCCACTTTTCAAAACAAGACATATATGCAACAAGCAATTATATTAAAAAAGCTTAAAGTCACTGATTATTAGAGAAATGCAAATGAAAATTATAATGAGATACCATCTCACACCAGTCATAATGGCAATTATTAAAGTCAAAACAAAAACACATACTGGCAAGGTTAGAGAGAAAAACAACACTTACACACTGTATTCGGGAATGCAAATTAGTTCCGTCACTGTGAAAAAGTGTAATGATTCCTCAAAGACCTAAAGAGTGAAATACCATTTGATTCAGCAAACCTAGTAATGAGTTACTAGGTATGTACCCAAAGGAATAGAAATCCTTCTGTTATAGAGACATGTGCACGCATATGTCCATGGCAGCACTGTTCACAATAGCAAAAATATGGAATCAAGCTAAATTCCCATCAATGGTAGACTGGATAAAGAAAATGTGGTACATATACACCAAAAAACACTGGGCAGCCACAAAAGAATGCGATCATGTTCTCTTCAGGGACATAGATGGAGCTGGAGACTATTATTCTTAGCAAACTAATGCAGGAACACAAAATCCAAATACCAGATATTTTCACTTGCAAGTGGGAGCTAAATGATGAGAACACAGGGACATACGACAGGCGGAAGAACAACACACACTAGAGCCTTTCAGAGAGTGGAGAATGAGAGAAGGAGGAAGATCAGGAAAAACAACTAAATGGGACTAGGCTTAATACCGGAGTAATGAAATGATCTGTACAACAAACCTCATGACAGACTTTACCTAAATAACAAACCTGTGCTTGAACCTTTGAACTGAAATAAAAGTTAAAAAAAAAAAAAGGCAACTTCTCAAGTTGAATAACATAACCTCCTAGGTTTAAACACATGAACACAAACTCACACCAAGGAACATTGTCTTGAAAATCTGCAATATATGACAAAGGAAAACAGCTCTCCTAAGTTTTCAGAAAAGTTTTTTAAAAAACAGTATTTACAAAGAATCAAAAATCAGAATGATTTCAGGCTTCTCAACAGCACTACCAGAAGCTGGGAAATAGTGGAGTAGTATCTTCAAAACTTGAATGGGAAATTATTTTCAATCAAAAATTCTATGCCCCACCAGTCATGTAAGTGTAAGAAGGAATAAAGTCATATTTCAGAACAATTTGCTTCAGTGTATCCTTGCTTGAATAAGTTACTGGAGGATACAGTCCACAAACAAGAGATTCAGGGCACGGGGCAGTGCAAAACAACAGAGTGGGTTTGTATTTGTATTGAAAAGACAGCAGCATTCGAGAGTTAGGGAATACTGGAGGAGGAGTTTTCTCCAGCATCCCTGGAGCCCACACCTCTCATTTCCACCTTCCTATGTCCCATTGCTGTCCATGAATTCTTATCACCTATTCCTTTGATAGAGGTATTTCTCTCACTGATTAGCTGTAGTCAAGTGGCTCTTTCTTGGGCTACAGGAGGAAATCTATTGCTTTTCATTAAACATCAATTTGATTAACCTAGGCTTAAGGTCAGCATTATACCATCAGCTGTACGTTCTTGGGAAGACATCTACTCACAAACTGGTTAAAGAACGTGGCCCTCCTACCTCTGACTTGTGTGATTCTAAGCAAGCTATTTAGCACCCCCTCATCTGTGAAAAAAACATAAAGTTCTTATCTTGGGCTCCACACACAGAAAGTGTTGAACAAAGAACAGTTTCTTCTCCTCCAAGGCCAGACCATATGGAGGACCCTAAGACAGCCACAGCCTTGGTCAGTAGGACAAACACAAAATTCAAATTGCACCATTAAAGCTGTGGCCAAACGTTTGCTCTGCCTCTGAGTCACTCACTGTCATAAGGCTCTACCAGTTCCCATTCCAGATAGAAAGTGGGCTTTTGTTGTTTTTTTGTGTTTTTTTAAGAGATGGAGTCACCCAGGCTGGAGTACAGTGGCATGACCATAGCTCACTGCAGCCCCAAACTCCTGAGCTCAAGTGACCTTTCTGCCATGGCCTCCTGACAGCAGCTGGGCCAACAGGGAAGCAGGTGTGCACCCCCACACCCAGTAATTTTTTTTGAGAGATGGGGTACCGCTATGTTGCCCAGACTGCTCTCAAATTCCTGGCCTGAAGCAATTTTCCTATATTAGCCTCCTAAATTTATAGGATTACAGGTGTGAGCCACTGTGCCCAACAGGTGTTCTAAATGCAATTTCCTCACTGCTATTCTGAAGAAGGGCAAGAAGCAAAGAGACCCTCCTTGAAACATAGAAAATAAAAGCATTTACTATTAAGTGGAGGCAGAGTTGATGATCAGCCAAAACTACTTCAACTGTAATCCAGAAGTCCCATTATACAGGAGTTCTAAAGAAATTCTTTAGTCAGAGATTGAGGGTAAGGAAGTCTTTGGTAAGGTTTCTCTTTGAATAAAAAGCAGCCCCAAAACCATTTCTAACAAAGAGCAGCCTGTAAAATCGAGCTGCAGATATAGACAATCAAGCTGGAAGCTTGCACAGGCGAATGCCAGCAGCTGTAACAATAGGAGGCTACTTGGGTGCCAGGCATGCTCAACCTGACGGCTTTATCTTCCTTTTTCTTTATCAACCACAAGTGCAGTAAGGGACAGACAACATGCACTGGCCAAGTAGAAAACCTATATGCATAAGAAGATTCGGGTGGATAGCCAGCTTCTTCATGAGCTACGTAAAGTTCTCACCTGGTCCAACCCATATTTGGACACTATGTAAATCAAACACCACCTCCTCAACAAGTCTATAAAACCTTGTGCAGTTCACCAGAAAACCAGAAAACACACTCAGAAACCCCTCTCTCTCTGCAGAAGAGAGATGTTCTTTTTTCTGCTTTTGCCTGTAAAACCTCCATTCTTAACCTCACTCCATGTGTATTCACGTCCTTGATTTTCTTGACATGAGGCAATGTACCTTGGGTATTACCTCAGATGGACAATGCTGCTTCATCATAGTTCTGTTTTGTTCAGGTTGTAGGACAAACGGCCCCTTTTCTCTGCAACCTCAGCTCAACCTTACTCAGGCCTCCTTCCAGCAGAATCACAGAGCCAAATGAAACCCCTTAGTCTTCTTTTAAATGGGCAGCCACTCCAAAGAAAACAGCATGATGAGTTTCAGGTGGCCCGGGGTGGGGGCAGTGCTACTCTGGCTTCTCCGTGCTCAGTCCCTCTCAGTTCAAAAGCGCACCACGTGGAGCAATAGAACACCTGCTCATCTGAGTTTTAAAAACAGTGGGAGGAAAAGCGCTGTCTTCATGCTTATTTCCCTGGCAGAGGGGAGGTCATAAAACACTAATTTCTAAGCCGTGGACCAGAGTTTTACTGATCTCTTCTGTTACTTACTCATGTTTACCCAGAGAAACCACATCACAAATCTGAGTCTCCTCTGGCAAGAGAAGGAATCGGATTCATGATTCTCTCAGCCCCCTTTCCACAGTAGAGTTCTGACTCCACTTCTAAAATACTTTTCTGCAAGCCTCTGTACCTCATAAATGTTTTACTATACTCGAGACAGCAAAGGGAAGCACAGATTAGCTACTGTTTTCAGAACAGTGGAAACATG